TGCGCTTCAGGATCAGCCTCGCAGCACATCTGCTATGTGTTTGCCTTTCAAGGCAGAATACACGTCTGACTGCCTCTCGTAGACAGTATACAACTTTTTTCTTTTTGACAGCTATTTTTGCCAACTTTTCCCGAAATTTCCGATGCAGTGTACTGATGGAACGGAGTAAAGCCAAAGTGGAAAAAGAAATGAGAAATTAAGGTGTTTGCACCAAAGTTAGACTCGGGAGGAAAAATAACTTGCAGGGCTTGAGCAGACCTATTTCTGTTCGGTTCTGCATGCTTTTCGTTTTTCTTTCGTCGTATTTCTTCAAAAAAAATTTCGCTAATCTTTACATAGTAGCACCACCCTACTACGCAACTTTATCCTCAGCATACAGCATAAGATCATGTAAGTTAAATTCACGCGAAACAACTGTCTTCATATTTCAAAACTAATTTGCACAGAACAGCCTTTTGCTCTTAACTGGCCCTCCCCCTTGCTCCATTTGTTACTGTCTCAACTTTCGCAGTGATTAGTACCTGAGGAAAGTCTGATCACTTGCGAAGAAAACTTACCAGGATGCCGGTCATCCCATGTTGGATCTTTGGCAGATGGAAAAGTAATGAAGATAATTGGAGGAGAACCATATTCCAATGCCTTGGGGAGTGATAAACTGAAAAGAAAGCTTTATTTGCCGATTCACTTCAGTTCATTTACAGGAAGAGGTAAAACTAGGTTTTCTTACAAAAATGTCATACGAATAAATTCAGAGTGAAAAGGTGCAAATTTTACAAATTTATTTGTTCCGAAATAACCCTACTCCATCACACGGCCCTTTTACCTACTTCCGCTAATGTAACTATAAAACTTTTAAGCATTCTTACAAGCAACGCATCTTTAAATGTAGGTGAGAAAATGTTAAAAACCTTTACTTTGAACAAATACCATAGAGCTTGTCTTCAGAACCACTCTGACCTGTGGAACCACATCAGTACGGTTTCAAAGAATTTCTACTGATGCCCTTCACACGCGCTGCTTTATTTCTTAAGATTTTTCCTGACAAACGACATATAATAGGATAGTAACTACTACTTTTCCAGAGTATATTCCAAGTAAGCTAAAAATTCCAGTAAGCAAATTTTACTATTAGCTAAAAAAGCCAGCCAAGCAAAACAGTTCTGAGTCATCCGTGTGGGACAATTTTCGCAATTAAATGTCAAAAGATGAAAAATTTAACAAGAAAAAAGCTCGATTTGATGATCACCTACCTTAAATAATAATCAACTTCATATGGATTATTGTTTTTGAGCCAAAAATAATTGCTGGATGGCAAGTTTAAGTCGCATTGCGAACCGGTCAAACCAATATATGCCTGGAACCCACCAATTGGCACTGCTTCCAGCGAATATAATCGATTTACCACTTCAAACATTGCTGCAAAAATGCACAAATATTATTTCAACGGTATTTAGAAAGAAACACAAAGTGTTTTTTGAAAGTCCTAAGCCAAACTGACAATATGGAAATTCTATGCCAGTGTTTTTCCAGATATCGGGCGCAGCCGTGCAATGCCTTTTGACCCTAATTTGCATAACATTAGCTAGTATCCATCCCCTGTTTAGATAAGTAGACCACCTTTATAAATTTTACTTTTTCGTAAATACCATTCATCGAGACATAAGTCCTGCCCTTTGAGAGCAAGACAAACGTCATATTCTGAACGCTGCTCTCGATGAGAACTAAACCGTTTGCCTAGCGCAAGCAGCAGTTTAGGTGCTAAATCATTGATGTTTGAAGCAGTCATTCCGATTTTGAAACTGAAAATGAAACTACAGTTTTTACTTTTGACTGAGCCTGAGAAATCAGAAAGTTCCCGTAATTTCCAACAGAGACTGCCGGAAGCACTTATTCCAATACTTCAATTGCATTGCTAGCAGTTTGCGAGCCCAATTATCAAGGCCGACGCACGTCCAGACATATGCACCTGATTTCCAAACAAATTTTTCCCCTTTCTGTAAAATGCTTTAAAAATGCGGATAGTAAATTTATTGTTAAAAGTACCGGATTTTTCGGCTACAGGTCGCGGTATGAGCTCATTGAAAGTTTTCACAATCGGAGCCGTTGAAACAACCAGTGCTGATCTAATGAAATATTCGGCACTGCCGTACTTCACTTTTACCCCTGCAAGCTGATCTGCATCAACCAATGTGATTCATCATAATTTTGTTATAGACATTATAGACATACACGTCAATCAGTAGCTTCTAATATTTATCAGCAACTTCTTCCTTTGAATAATACTGAAGAAACTAGAAGGCCTAAGTGCTCTCAGTGATGCCGAGAGTTTGCTAGTATTAAAACAGTGATAAAGGAATAATATAGTATTAATCACTGGTTACTACTGAGATGAATACTAGAAAGCGCAGTGGTGTGTTGATAAGAATAATCAAGGTTACGTGATCATTTAAGCCCATTCAGTATCTATTTGAAACGTGTGCGACTTAATGGACCGAAATATCTCAATACAGGGCTTCTTTTT